TTCAAATATTTTCTTCACTTCGATGAAAAGATTTCAAGTTCATTACATGCTGGAAGAACACGCAATAAATGACTTATTCGTAGGAACAAGAGGTTCCTTCTCAAATATTATCTTCAGTCCAAAGAAAAGGTTTCGAGTTTATCACATAGTTGAGGAACACCCGACAAATGTCTAAACCATAACAAGTCTCTATTCAAACATTTCGAGCAGTTTGAAGCAAAGATTCCAAGTTCATTACACGGTTGCGAAACACACAAAAAATGTATAATTTATAAAAAGGCTCTATTCAAACCTTTTGTTCAGTTTAAAACATACATTTGAAGTTCTTTACATGGTGAAGAAACATACAACAAATAAATAATTCGTAGCAAGATTCTATTTAAATATTTAATTCAGTGCGAATTAAGCATTTCGAGTTCATTAGACGACGGACGAGCATATAAAAAACAAATAATTCATAGGATGACAATTCTATTCAACTACTTTGCTCAGCTCGAAGCAAGGATTTCGAGTTCTTTACATGATGACGGAAAACACAACAAATTAATAATTTATATTAACATTCTATTTATACATTTTGTTCAATTCGAAAGAAAAATTTCGAGATTATTTCATGGTCGAATAACATAGACTAGATGAATAATTTATACCAACATTCTATTCAAATACTTTGTTCAATTCGAAACATACATTTGAAGTTCTTTACATGGCGAAGAAACATACAACAAATGAATAATTTATACCAAGATTCTATTTAAATATTTAATTTAGTGCGAAGTAAGCATTTCGAGTTCATTAGACGACGGACGAGCATATAAAAAACAAATAATTCATAGGAGGAAAATTCTATTCAACTACTTTGCTCAGCTCGAAGCAAGAATTTCGAGTTCATTACATGGTTGCGAAACACACAACAGTTGAATAATTCATACCAACATTCTATTCAAACCTTTTGTTCAGTTCAAAACTTATATTTGAAGTTCTTTACATGGCGAAGAAACATACAACAAATGAATAATTCGTACCAAGGTTCTATTTAAACATTTAGTTCAGTTCGAAGTAAACATTTGAAGTTCATTACAAGGTGCAGAACACACAACAAATGAATAATTTATACCAAGATTCTATTAAAATATTCTTTTCATTTCGAAAGAAAAACTTTGAGATCATTTCATGGTCGAATAACATAAACTAGGTGAATACTTTATACCACCATTCTCTTCAAATATTTGTTCAGCTTGAAAAAAAGATTTCCAGTTCATTTCATGATGATGGAACACACAACAGTTCAATAATTTACACCAATATTCTATTTAACTATTTTGCTCATCTCGAAACAAAGATTTCTAGTTCATCACATCGTGGAGGAACACAAAACAAATGAATAATTCAAAAGAAAATTTAATTCAAAATTTTTGCTTATGTTGAAGCACAGTTTTCGAGTTCGTTGCTTGATGCATAAACACAGAACAAATCAATAATTGATAATAAGACTGTATTCAAATAATTTTTTCAGCTCGAACTAAAGATATCCAGTTCATTACATGTTCGAGAAACACACAACAGACAAATAATTCACACTAAAATTCTATTCAAATCTTTTTTTCAGTTGGAAGCAAAGATTTCGATTTCATTGTACGGTGGAGGAACAAACGACAAACGAATAAATCAAAGCATGACTTTATTCAAAAATATTTTCTCCAGTTGCTGGCAAGGTTTCGACTTCATTACATGGCGGAGGAACACACCACGCATGAATAATTCAAAACAAGATTCCATTCAAAAATATTTACCTCGGTTGCTGGAAAAGGTTTCGACTTCATTACATGGTGGAGGAACACGCAACAAATGAATAAATCAAAATATGATTCTATCCAAATATTTGGTTCAGCTCGAAACAAAGATTTCGAGTCCAACACATGCTAGAGGAAAACACAATTATTGAATAATTTATAACAAGATTATACTCAAATATTTCCCTCAGTTGCAAGCAAAGATTTCGAGTTCATGGCATGGCGGAGGAACACACAACAAAAGAAGAATTCTGAAGAAGTTTCTATTCGAAAATATTTTGTTAAGGTCTCAGCACAGATTTCAAGTTCGTTACATGGTACAGGAACACATGACTATTGAATAGCTTATAACAAGATTATACTTAAATATTTCGTTCATTTTCAAGCAAAGATTTCGAGTTCATCTCATGGTTCAGGAGAACACAATTATTGAATAATTTATAAGAAGATTATACTCAAATATTTCTCTCAGTTGCAAGCAAAGATTTTGAGTTCTTGGCATGGCGGAGGAACACACAACTATTGAATAGTTTATAACAAGATTATACTCAAATATTTCCATTTAGTTGCAAGCAAAGATTTCGGGTTCATGACATGTTGGAGGAACACGCAACAGAAGAATAATTCATAAGAGGGTGTGATTCAAATATTTTGCTAAGTTCGAAGCAAAGATCTCGAGTCCATTACGCAGTGCAGGAACATACAACAATTGAATTATTTATAATAAGATTATACTCAAATATTTCATTCAGTTGCAAACAAAGATGTCGAGTCCATTTCCTGCTGCTGGAACATATAACAAAAGAATAATTCATAACACCAAAATTATATTCGAAGATTCGGTTCAGTTTCGAACAAAGATTTCGATTTCAATACATAGTAGAGAAACATAAAATAAATAAATAACTCACAACAAGATTATATTCATATGTTTTGTCCAGTTGCTAGTAAAAGTTTTGAGTTCCTGATATGGTGGGAGACACACAACGAATGCATGATTCCTAATAATATTCTATTCAAATATATTATTTCCTTGAAAGAAAAGATTATGAGTTCATTCGATAAAGGAAGAACATACAACGAATGAAAAATTCATACCAAGGTTTTATTGAAGTATTGCGTTCAGTTCGAAGCATAGCATTGGGATGCAGTGCATCGTGGAGGAAGACATAACAAAAGAGTAATTCATACCAAGATTCCACTCAAATATTTCGTTCAGTTGCAAGCGAAGATGGCATGTTCATTCAGTGATGCAAGAATGCACAACAAATGAAGAATTTATAATAAGATTATACTCAAATTTTTTGTTCAGTTGCAAGCAAAGATGTCGAGTACATTTTCTGTTGCTGGAACATATAACAAAAGAATAATTCATAGCAAGAGCAAGAAGATTATATCCAAGCATTCTGTTCAGTTCGAAACAAAGATTTCGAGCTGATTGCATAGTCGAAGAACATATAAGAGATGAAGAATTCATATCAAGATTCTATTCAAGTGTTTTGTTTAGTTCAACGGAAAGATTTCGACTGCATTAGATGGTGATGGAACACATAACAAATAAACAGTTCATACGAAGATTCTATCAAAATAATTTCTTCAGTTCGAAACAAAGATTTGGAGTTCAATACAGATTGGAGAAACACACGAGAAACGAATGATTTATAAGAAAACTATATACAACAATTTTCTTTAGTGGCAAACAACGATTTCGAGTTCTTTACACGGTGAAACAACACGCAAGAAATAAATAGTGTATAGTAACATTCGCTTCAAATATTTCGTTCCGTTTGGAACACAGATTTTGAGTTTATTACTTGGTGGAGGAATACACAGAAAATGAATAATTCGTATCACGATTCTATTCAAAAATTTTGCTCAGTGGGAAGTGTGGATGTGAAGTTAGTGAGATTGATGCAGATTACATTATAAATTAGTATCCACTAGGGTTCCATTCGAATACTGTGATGTGTATTATATGGCGATGTATACTGTGTTTAGAAGGAAAACCTCGTTGTATATGAAGAATCCGCACCGTTGTTGATTAAATTGTCAGCAACACTATTGGGTTTCGCAGTTTGATTCACTCCCTTCTCCTCCCCCCGTACCATGCAGTTTGTTGCCATTAAAACCAACAAAACTGCCAAATAGACCTTTTGATTGATAATATGCATTATCGTATACTGTTGCTTGAATGTTTGAGGATTGAGTTACGAATGACTTTTAGCAAGTATGAAAATGGTATAATTTTGCAATTGTGCTGTGCTTATATAAATACGTAAGTGAGTAATGATGACTATTATAGAAAAAACATTAGCGCATATTCTGCAGAACAAATATGAAAAATGTTTTTCTTGTGCCACTTCTATTGAAAGAAAAAAAAATGTTTGTTTTTTGTTATTGTTTATTTAAAAGCCATGTTTGGAAGAGAAATGAATATGAACGATGAATAATCAAAAAAAGCGTAGTTTCTATTTTTTTCACAATAATGTGATGGAGGTGTTTTTATTCAAACTTTTTATACGATGGTAATCTAAGAAAAATATTGAGTTGAAAGTAAGATGGAAGACAGCTTCAGTCAGTCGATTTTATAAAAATCGTTTGCTGCTGTGGCTAGAAACTTATTTTAGTTTTGTATTCAGATTTTGCTTGATGTTATCTAACAACTATTCGATTATTCGTGAAAACAGAATACCCATACTCATACTCAACTTCTTCATATATAACACAGAATCTTACAAGTTAAAATTGCAGTTCTTTGTTTTATCAAATTGTTAAATTTCAACATGTAAACTTACATTTCATATTTTTCTAACATTTAAGAGCAAAAATTCTCATATTATTTCTAATAGTTTATTTTATGCATGCTTCAACTAATTTCTCTCAAAATTAATTCAGAATAAAATTCATTATTGAAGCTTCATCGAAGATCCTTAAAAATAAAATTTATTTAAATATAAATCTTTTTTTTCTAAGATAAATTCCAATACCAAAAATAAGCCATACACACTCGAGAAAAACATAGAAAAATAAAGTTTACAAAAAGAAAATAATATAAGCTTATTTTCATTGAGGAAGAACAACATTTCTCAAAAAATACATATGAACAATAGCCTAATATATTTTTATATTAAGACTCGCTGTGTTTGTTTTTCTAATAGCAAAAGACAAAAACATTAAAATAAGTTAACATACATATAATTTATTCGTTTATTTTTTATTTCTAATACTAGCAACTGTTTTTGATACCCATTCTAGACCTTCCTAGATTCATAGAATAAAAATAAATAAATTGAATAGCAAATATAAAAAATATTTTCCTTACTTCAACACCTTTTGTATATGCTAAACAATCTTGAATTTGCCAAGATCGATTACGTATTTGATGTGATGACAAACCATCAGTTACATCTGATGCTTTAGCAGCATCTAATAAATCTTGTTTATTAGCAAAAATTAATAAAGGTACACCATTTAATTTTTCTTCTTCTAATAATTCAGATAATTCCTAAAGAAATATTTTATAATAAAATGATTAATGGAAATCTAATAGAAATTAATCTACTTGATTTGTTTCATCAATAACATATATCTATAATAATATATACAAGACGAGGAAAAAAATAATAGGAAACTTACTAAAACATCAGTACTTGCAAAATAATTATACCAATATTGTCGAATTTTACGTTGACCACCTAACAAGATATATTTTTTTTATAAAGAAACAACATTGAATGAGATATTCTTACCGATGTCCCAAACATTCAGCTTAAAACCACTTGATTGCACATTTTTGATATTGAAACCTTGTGTAGGTGTACTATGTGAAATATCTTCTGAAGCAAGAACTTTCAGTAATGTTGTGTGAAATGATATTATTTCTTGTGTTTATGAATATACACATGTGGAATTCTCACATTTCCAGCATTATCAAGACCTAAAAGTAAAATACGAAGTTCATCTTGTGGTGTTGAACGAAATTTTCGTAATATATCATGTAAACCGTACATAGAAAAAAGTATTTCTTTGTCTCTCTAGTTCATTTTATTTATTTTTTACCATAGAAAATATAAAATGACTAACAGTGATAGTTAAAAATAGACTAAAAAGAAAATGTAACTAACTCAAATAGAATAACCTGATAGATTATCATTATACACGAAATTATATAAAAATCAAAAGGAAAAACAACAACGGAACTTTCTACGAGTGGAAGAAAAGTGTCAATAATGACAATACTGTGTCACCATGTAAAATTTATAATCTATACTGTTTCGATGGAACCTCTGATGCTGTCAAGTATTTATTTATATTAAAACAATAAAAATAATGTAGATAAAATATAAAATATCATTTTTTCAAGATCTATTTTCTTTTTAAAGATAGATTTACATGTTATACCATCAGATATGAACGCCATCTGTTATTTTTAATAGTATCATGATCATTTTCAATGCCAAAACTATAATTTAGCACCTTTACATATATTCTTTTGTTAATGAAATTAATTATTCATCGAAACTCATTTATGGCTTTATCTAGTGTAAGAGATGTTCAAACAAATAATGATATTTCAACTCTATTGAATACAAAATCTCCTAACAATGACGAGACATTTTTAAATAATAATCCTTCATCTCGAATCGATTATTGGTATGAATCACACTGTACCATTAGTGTATCTCTTGAGTGTGTGAGTGTGGAATGGGAGATAAAAGGACGAAATACCCACACCCTCAAATGATATTATTTCTTGTGTTTATTTATATACGCAT